TTATTATTATTATTATTATTATTATTATTATTATTATTATTATTATTATTATCATCATCATTATCATCATATTCACCACAATTGTAATTGCAGTCATCATTTAATAAATCGAATACAATAACACATTGAAATAAATAGTTATTCTTGCCTTATTATTGAAATGGATGATGCCGGTGGGGGGGATTAAGGACTTGGCAGCGATTTGTTTTCGCACTGAGTACATTCTACCACTTGGATTAAGTTATAACCTGAAGGAAATGATCAGTGGCGTATCTAGAAGTCTTGAAGGTAGGGGACTGATGGGGGGGGGGGCGCGAAGGTGAATTGGGGACTCGATGATCAGTTGATGGGCGCTACCGTACTTCGCAAAATAAGGTGATTTTTAACTACTTGACCGTGATTTTTTTTGGGGGGGAGGGGCGACCCCACCCTCCCCTAGATACGCCACTGGAGAGGATGAGAGACTATCTACCTTAATACAAACAATCATGTTCTAAAACAAAAAAAAAAACACTTTTAAAGCCATTTAAAACAGTAATTCAACAGATTTTTTTTAATATGTAAAATTTCTTTAAGAAATATTTTAGAAATCGAAAAAAGGGGTTAAAAAGATAAAAGATAAAAAGGTTAAAAATTTTAAAAATACACAGAAACGAGATAATGATTTAAGAACGGTAAATAATAAAGTAAAAAAAAAAGTTCACAGTTAATAATCTAAACTCCGGTAGCAGTACAAGCGCAGTTAACGCCCCCTCAACTGATGATCGTCCCCCACCCCATTAACACCCCACAACCCCTTCAAGACTTCAAGATACGCCACTGGCTGGAATAAATTAAATCAGTGTGAGACCCGGCAGGCCCCCCACCCCCCATTGTACAAAATGGAGATATAAAGAAAATTATATTAAAATTTTAAGTCTGAGAGTGCAATTTCCGGCATGCCCCTTTATTTTGATTTCCTGGATCCACCACTGCAAATGACACCACTAGGAGCGTCTCTTTTCTCTCAATCTGGTTATCAGTACGAAAGTTGGGATGATGGGTGTGGATTCTCTCCCATTTCAGGGGTGGCGCCACTAGGATTTGCCCGACGGGGGAAGGGCGAGGTCCCAGACTGGGGGGGGGGCGATGTGCCGACGAGGGTCAGATTTCCCCGACGAAAGCAAAGTAGGCGTGGTCGAGCTTCGATTAAAAGGTCTCGAAAGTGGTCCATGGGGACGAAGCCCCCGAAAATTTGGACAATTTAAAAGGCTTATTTAATCGATTTTAGCGTCTACTAATATGTAGAAAATACATACAATTTTTTTTCTCCCCGACGAATTGTGCTTTTTCTCCCCGACAGAGGGGGGGGGGCACCATCACTCCGCTGGCGCCACCCCTGTCCCATTCCCTGTCGATGACGACGGTAGAAGACCTTGGACCCTATCGTCGGTGATCTTTGCCGCCTCTGCTAACATTGCATTATTCATGTTGAGTTGGAGAAGATCCCTTATTATACAGAAAAAAAGGTCAATATTGAGATTAGCGACGAAAATACTACTTGAAGGTGCTGCTAAGCAGTCACGGGCTAAATACACATTCATTCTTTATCATCGTGCTCACCGCACAATCACGAATCGGTGAATGAACGTGAACTCTCGTTTCATTTTCCAACGAACTCAGACCAGGGAGCTGATCCTACGGAGGTACGTGGACGTGGGCTGACATAGTGCAGGACCGAGTAACAACAGCAACCAAGTTGTATCATATCACAGGTGTGTCAGCATAGCAACATGACGGCGGTTGACCTAAACGGAGTGTGGAAATTGGACAGGAGCGAGAATTTCGAAGAATTTTTAAATAAAATGGGAGTCAGTTGGATGAAGAGAAAACTTATAAACACCTTCGGAAATAATATTTCGGTAACGATAAATCAATCAGGGGAGGATTTCGTGATTACGACCAAGACACCAAAGGATTCCAATGAATCGAAATTCAAGGTTGGCCAACCATTTAAAGGCACTAATAAACTGACCGGGAAAGCTTTCGAGATGATGGCTGAATTCGAAGCCGGTAAATTAGTCGTGGCACCGGTTAGTGGTAAAGATAACCCGACGATAACCAGGGAGATTGATGTTGTGAATGATGAAATGGTACAAACCATGGACATGGATGGTGTAGTCACAAAGAGATACTTCAAGAGGGAGTAAGAAAGGACACTGTATTCGTAACATATCTGTAGGCCTAATTCGTAGTGGCAGGGAGTCCTTGATAGTGGGAAGAGATTTTGGATTCTAGTACTATTGGCAGGGATCACGTGACTCGGGAAAAGTACACAAAACAAATCAAATAATTATTTTTTGAATCTCTTATGGATATAATAGGCCTATACATGCCTACGCCTACTCGGACTGCTTGGGGTAAAACACTCTGTTTCGTTAAGGTTTATTAGGAGGCCTATAAAAAGCACGAGGCAGCAGTACATGTCATGGCAAAATAGTCTGTCTTTATACATTATCAGAGTATGGAATAGTATAGAATAGCTATTCTATACTGATATTATAATGGATACAATGATACAAAATCTTAACAGTAATGGTGGATCAGACTGAATGACGTAGTTTGTGTCACGCTGATTGGTGAATACAGTATATTGGACTATGCATCAGTGGAGATGAAATGCTGAATGTAGGTTTCGAATTGTCTGAATTATAATCAGGCTGTCGTGTGAACTTTAATCATTCCAAATAAATACAATATTGAAATTGTGACACCTAATTCGTTCTGTTGCTTGCTGATTATTCTTTCGTTATTTATCTTGTCTCATTCAAAACATATATAGGGTGAAAACATCCTATTAAGGCAAACAAACG